ACTCAAGGCCTGGGCAAAGTTGCTCATGTTTGGAATCCCAGCCCTTTGGGAGGCCTGGATGGGAGGATCACTTGAGGACAGGCGTTTGAGACCAGACTGGGAAACAATGTAATATCTTGTCTCTGAAAAAAATGAAATAAAATAAGCTGGGCATGGTGTCACATGCCTTTAATCTTAGCTATTCAGAGGCTGAGCCTGGAGGACGGCTTGAACCCAGGAGTTCAAGGTTATAGTAAGCTATAATACCACTGCATTCCAGCTCGGTGACAGAATGAGACCCTGTCTCAAAAAAACAAACAAACAAAAAGCCAGACTCCAGGATTTCCACACACTTTGCCAAATCCCATACAAACTGCATGCAAATTTGGAGCGTGTGCATTTTCTAAAAATAAAATTCATGGATCCTATCAGGCATTCTCAAATATTAAGGACCAGAGCCTAAGAAAACTAAGAAATTAGAGCAAGAAATATTTCCTAAAGTCAATGAGAACTATCATATATTTTAGGGAAGCTTTTTATAAGATACAAATCAAAGGTCTATGTTTTAAAATTTATTGATTTATTTATAGATTTATTCAATAAATATATATTTGGTGACTAGTATGCATGCTATGGTAGAATATCGAGATATAACTAGTATTCTAACCCAAACCCTAACTTACCTACTTTAGTCTTTTTATCCTAACTCTCCCCTGACAGTTCTTACTGTGTAACAGGTTAGCTATATTAGTAAGTGTTGTAAGAGGAAATCAAGGCCCAATGGGAATATCTTGGAAGTGCAGCTAATGTAGACTTCCATAAGAAGGCTAAACCTTAGATGATTCAAGAAAGATAAAAAGAACCTAAGCCATAAAATGGAAGAAAGAAGGCAATTTATTTGAACAGAGAAAATTGCAAGTGCAAAGATGATAGAATATGTTACAATAAAAGCACAAAGGCAAAGATTTAGTATGATTTCAACATATTTTGTGTGGAGGGAGAAATTAGAAATGACATGGAATCAGTAAGCAGATAATACATTATAAAGGGTCTGTCATGTTTTTGAATTTAAATTTATTTTGTTTTATATTTCTAATAGAATCAGGAGAAAAGCTGAAAATCCCTAGTTTCTGTTTGAATGTTTTAAGACATTCAAATAGAATGTCTTAAATTCAAATAGAATGTCTTAAAACTTTCAAACAGAAACTAGGGATTTTTCTTTTTTCTTTTAATTATAAAACAGTCATTCAATTGAAAATATATGCATTCTAAAATTTTATACATTTTGCATTAAGATATTTGATTGATTTATTATAATTTTTACAGGTATTTCTCTTTTTATTGACACATAATTATAATATGTCTTTGTCATAATAATTGTTTTTAAATTATCAGTTAATATTTTGTCCACATTTATTTTATATAAAAATAAACATAATTGTTCCTGAAACTATAATCTTATACAATTTAAATGTTGAATAAATGAAAAATGTTCTCAAACTGGAACATTATAATAACTTAGACTGAAGCACTCCTGCGAGATTCAAGGCTTGAAATGGTTCTTTGAGAATAAATAAGTGACACCTCAATCTTAAAAATATAACTTTATTTACAAATCATAAAACATTAATTGCTGTTTATCATATTTGTTTTTAATTTTTTTCCTGACATAGAAAAAATATTATCAGCTACCTCCGTTTTATCATAGACCAATCTAATTATCACATAAGATTTACACTCTGCTTTGTTAATTACAGGCAAAACCTATATTTTAATGTTTTTGAGAGTTTAATTTTCACTTAAATCACAACACTTTAATTTATCTTATTCATTTAGAGTTGCAGCTCTTTAAATATTGAATCTATTATAATATTGCAGAATCGCTCACCACACTAAGAAAATTACATTCCCAGTCTCTTCCACTTTCAAAGCACTTGTATCTGCAGAAACTGTAAATGAGGGCCAAGCCCTTGTTTTACCATAAGCTTTCCTCTGTTGCAACAAGACTGAGATATGTATGAGAATAGGGATACAGAAGATATCAATATATATTTTCAAAGAGTGCATCAATGAGTGAATAAATAAATTAGGATAATTTGATTAAGGATAGCCATCAAATATGTCTAACACTGATACTCAGAATTATAAAAATAACAACCACCAAAGTAAAACCCTAAGCCTGTAGGTCGTAGATCTCATGTTAATTAGTTTACCACATACCAGGATCTGACCTTCCTCTTCAAAGACACTGATGCTGCTTCTTGTCAAATTCTGAGTGGCTGACTCATGCTTAAAACACACATAAAATGCAGTCTTACAGTATGATAAATAAATAAAATATATCATAGATAATAATAATTGGTTATAATTATAGATTGTCTTCCTCTGATTAATCTATATGAGAAGACAAATTATAATCAGAAATAGGTTGAAAGTATAAAGGGAGAAGGTCAAGCTACTAAAGACAAGGAGCCAGGGTTCCCTGATGGGAGGCAGAACCATATAGAGGACAGGTAATGGTGTAGATGTCATCCACAGCAGAGGCAAAGAAGGAGGAACAATCTACTGTTGCTCTCTGGGCACCTGTCATTTTTGTAAAATGACAATAGAGGGCATATAAAAGCATATTTTTTTACCTGGTTTCTTTGCAAGATGTAAATTCGTTTATTAGTGTAGGAGAAATAGAATCAGTGGCAAACTGCTCCTAGATTATTTTCTTTCTGCCACCAAGGGCTTCTTATTTGGTCTTTGTAGATAATCTTCTTCTTATCCAGAAGTTGATCATTGACTGAAAAGTACAGAGGTTAAAATGTAGGTTCTGATTCAAAGACCTGTATCAGTGTATTACTTTCCTAATCCTGCTGTGGCGAATTATCACAAATGTAGTGTCTTTCCATCACACATATTTTATGTTAGTCTATAGATCAGAACTGTGACACAGATCTCACTGGGTTGAAACTGTCCACAAGCTGCTGACCCTCTCTTAGGGAGAATCTGTTTCCTTCCCTTGTCTAGCTTCCAGAGGCCACTCATATTCCCTGGCTCATGCCTGTCCCCTTCTTCCATCTTCAAACCCAGAGATATTAATACTAGGTTGATTCCTGTTCACATGGCATCATTCTGACCTCTTCTTCTGCCTCTCTCTTCCAGATTTTAGGCCTGCTCCAATAATCTAGGATAATTTCCCTATTTTAAGGTCAGCTGATTGGGAATCTTAATTCTATTGGCAACCTTGATTGTTTTTTGCCAACATAACTTTGAAAATTCACAAATCCTAGGGATTAAAATGTAGATGTTTTTGAGGGACCATTAGTTTGTTGATCACAATCACATCCTGAACTCCAAACTTAGATCAGCATACTGCCTCTCCAGCTCTTAGTATCTGTCCATAGTATTATAACTTTGAAAGCTTCAGTTTTCTAATTTACAAAGTGGGGATAATCATCCTGACTTTTCAGGTTTGTTGTTAGGAAATAATGTGGCCACGTACATTAAATTTCATATAGAAATAAACAAACAAGAAGTAGTCAATAGCCAGAGGCATCACACTACCTGATTTCAAACTATACTAAATGGCTACAGCAATCAAAACAGCATGCTACTCCTACCAAAACAGAGATATAGACCAATGGAACAGAACAGAGGCCCTGGAGGCAATGCTACACATGACAACAATCTGATCTTTGACAAACCTCACAAAAACAAGCAATGGGGGAAGGATTCCCTTTCTCCCATGTGCAGAAAGCAGAAACTGGACCCCTTCCTTATACCTTACACTAAAATTAACTCCAGATGGATTAAAGACTTAAACATAAGACCTATCACCATAAAAACCCTAGAAGAAAACCTAGACAAAACCATTCAGGACATAGGCACAGGCAAGGGCTTCATGACTAAAACACCAAAAGTACTAGTAACAAAAGCCAAAATAGACAAATGGGACCTAATTAAACTGGAGAGCTTGTGCACAGCAAAAGAAACAATCATTAGAGCGAACTGGCAACCAACAGAATGGGAAAAAAATTTTGCCAGCTACCCTTCTGACAAAGGGCCAATATCCAGACTCTACAAAGAACTAAAGCAGATTTACAAGGAAAAAAAAAAAAAAACAACAACAAATGAACCCATCCAAAAGTGGGTGAAGGATATGAACAGACACTTTACAAAAGAAGACATATATGAGGACAACAAACATATGAAAAAATGCTCATCACTGATTATTAGAGAAATGCAAATCAAAACCACACTGAGATACCACCCCACGCCAGTTAGAATGGCGATCATTAAACAAATCTGGAGACAACGGATGCTGGAGAGGATGTGGAGAAATAGGAACACTTTTAAACTGTTGGTAGCAGTGTAAACTACTTCAACCATTGTGGAAGACAGTGTGGTGCTTTCTCAATGACCTAGAAATAGAAATTCCACTTGATCCAGCAATTCCATTACTGGATATATACCCAAAGGATTAGAAATCATTCTGCTATAAAGACACATGCACACGTATGTTCATAGTGGCACTGTTCACAATAGCAAAGACCTGGAACCAACCCAAATGTCCATCAACGATAGACTGGACAAGGAAAATGTGGCACATATATACCATAGAATACTATGCAGCCATAAAAAAATGATGAGTTCCTGTCCTTTGGAGGGACATGAATGAATCTGGAAACCATCATTCTCAGCAAACTGTCACAAGAACAGAGAATCAAACACTGCATGTTCTTACTCATAGGTGGGTGTTGAACAATGATAACACATGGATATAGGGAGGGGAGCATCACACACTGGGGCCTGTTAGGGGGGCCAAGGGAGGGAAAGTGGGGAGGGGAGAGGTCAGGGAGGGATAACATTGGGAGAAATGCCAGATGTAGGTGACGGGGGATGGAGGCAGCAAACCGCATTGCCATGTGTGTACCTATGCAACAATCTTGCACGATCTGCACATGTACCCCAGAACCTAAAGTACAATTAAAAAAAAAGAAAGAGTCAATAAATTTTTTTTTATTTCTGACAAATACAGCTAGAGGAATGGGACAAATCACTAAAAATGTACATATTTTTATCTGTTCCTCCTAAATTTTCTTGTTCATTGACTATAGTTAGTGTAAATGTAATTGGGAAATGTTTAAATATAATTTGAAGGGACAATAAGATCATTGTTATATTTTAGTACTGTCACCGTAATTAATAATCATAAAAGTCAATTATCCCTACTACTGCTGCAGAGCTTGACACAGCACGGATGGGCCCCCAAAATGCTAATTACTGTCCAGACAGACTCTGTGGACATTTTAAGAATGCCAGCACCACCCTGGCATCTGCCACGGAAGCAGATGCTATTTGCATCTGTTTTCCATGATAATCACCAATGATGGCAGGAAAAAAATCTACATTTTAAGACAATCTGTTCAAATATTCAAGAACATATTTGGCTTGTCAAGGCACCTTTTAAAAGTTGTTGTAAGCGATGAGATTTATAGGAAATATAAATTATTTAGCTACCAATACATTTTTTTTCTGAGTTTATTTGTGAATAAATATGTTGAGTATGGTTTGTAATCAATTGCTGTAGTTGATTTCCAACACAGTTTTTAAGAGAGAGAAAGGACATTATTTTTCTTTTATTTTAAAACTTACATTAGAAATATTGACTGAATTTGCCATGTACTGTGAATTTGAAACGTACTGTTTTCATAAGTTTATATATGTGAGTGTATATGTATACATCTCTCTCTCTTAGAAAAGTTTTCTTATTTTTATAATAAAAGAAGATTATAAGTAGAAATTCAATACTACGTACTGTCTTGTAAATTTAATCCATCAATTAATATGTATTTTATTATATGTATTACACCAACATTTTCACTATTTTAGAAAATAAATAAAATATATTAATTATCTTGTAGAAGAGAAACAATTGTTAAACTATGCAGTACTACAAATCTTGTTTCTTTGACTTCTCAAGGCATGAAAAAAAAAAGAAAATCAAAAACAAAGGCAAGGACATGCTTAGGTTACATAAGGCAGCTTCTCTGATCACAAACACAGAGTAAGTTGATCCTTCTGGGCATAGTCAAGGGAAGTTCCTTTCCTCGGAGCTTTTGGAAACGTGATCCTATGAGCCCTGGATTGTCACAGTCCATGCTAACTGCTTGCTAGTTAGTACCCACCCTGCTGTGACCCTAAGGTCGCCTGTTACTCGGGAAGGGGTGGGGCTGTGGCGGGGGAGGGGGGAAAAGAGCAAGCAGGAGCCTCGGAACGGGTTGAGATGGAGAGAATCTGCCTTCTAGGAAGGAAATGGGAGCGGGGGTAACCAGGAACAGCAGGTGTGCCGACCTCCTCCTTCTACAAGCGCTCTGGGGCAAAGCGCATGGCTGGCAGTGGTGCGCCAGCTGCAGTTCCCCGCGCGCCCGGAAGCGCGGGAGGAGCCCTAGGCCAGCGTTTGGCCGCCTTCCCGCCGGTGCTCCGGGCCAGTGGTCTGGTGGAAGTCGCGGGGTCGCCCAAGCGCCCTTTCGCTCCGTTCCACTGGGGAAGCCGCCATGGCTGAGCGGAAAACACTTGTTTCCGGACGCCGAGAGGAGTGCCCTCTGGCCGCGCGCTTTTCTACCTGGGAATTGGTGACGAGGGCCGAGGGCCGAGGGCCGAGGGCCGCCGAGCTGGGGGAGGGTGCGCAGAGGCTGGGGCGCCGGAGCTCCACTCCGTTGCTGCTCCGGGCTTAGTCCAGTCCCGGGCCAATCGAAAGGGACAGCAGAGGGCAAGGTCCTTTCCGCAACGTTTTGAGTGGGAACCGATTGCACGGGGAAAGGGTAACAGTTCTTGGTAGAAAATCTCCCACGAACGATTCGGCCTTTGTCAGTGTCGTTCCTGCTTTGGGAAAGCGCGTCAATGGGTCAGTGCGGATCCAGATCTGAGTGTTGTTCCTAGAGATTGGATGTGTGTGGGGGCGCGTGGCTGACCCTGCGGGGTACGGCGGGGTCAACTCTGCCAAGGAGTACCCTCTCTGCCCACCGTGTGAAGGGAGACTTGCGGGGCTGGCCATGGAGCCTGAGAGAATCTGATAATGATCCTGAATAACCAACCACTCACCCGCCTCCTGAGCCCACCGGCACCCCAGGCTCGGGGCTAGAAGCGGGTTCTCGCCGCGCGCCGTCCGCGGTTGCGCTGGTTGCGTCGGCATTTGCATCTCGGTTTCCGTCCCCGCCGGCTCCGCACCCATTCTGAGTCAGGAATACGACCGAAGATTTACGACTATGCTTCCTTGAGCTGGCCAGGAGTGATGTTCCCTGAAGTCATGCCCTCCTAGAAAGTCTCTAAAATCAAGGACGTGGGAAGTGGGGTTTTGGGTGGCGGGTTGTGGTGGCGGAATACAGGAAGTCCCAGCTGGCAGGGCCTTCTCTGCTCTCTTTACTCTGAGGAAGCCCGCCCCCTCGACCCGAAAGCATTTTGGGAGAGTTCTCGGCTTGGAAGACAGGAGACCTAGTGAGAGCAAGGCGGGTAAGCGTCAACCAAAAAAATGAACTGTACCTCGATTTCTTAGAAACTTTCACCGTAAACTTATTTCTATAAAGAAAACTAAAGTCAATTTATATTATTGACGCTTTTCCGTAGCACTTTAATGTTTTACTTTCCATCCCCGCTCCCGACTTATTTTTGATCTTTCTGGGTGTATTCTAAGCAGAGCAAAAATGCTGTCACTGTTGCCAGTTTCCAAAGTTTCCAACGCCCTTTGGCAGTCCTTATTCAAGTTTGGTCAGACACTCCCAGTTCAGGACCAACATCAGAGGAAGCTCTAGAAGTAGCGCATTCGAGCCTGTAGGTGAATGGCCCTAGTTAGGAAGGAAAGGAGGTTACACAGGAGAGCCTACAGATACTCAGAGATACAGTAAGTTCTCTGAGTGATCAACCTTCCCAAAACACAAAAGCGTGTGCGCGCGCGCGCGCGCGCACACACACACACACACACACACACACACACAGTGAAAGAGACAGACTCCTAGACCGCCGCTAGAGGGAGGGCCGCGAGGCGGTTGTGCAAAATGGAATGAATACAGATCCTGCTCTCTGGCGGAATTTGCGTTTATGTCACTTTAAAAATACTATTTTTATTTGACAAATCATAAGTGTTATATAGTTAAGGGATACATTCTGATGTTTTGATATTTGTATACAGTGTGAAATTATTAAACTGATGTCCCTTTTGAAAGGTTTCAAGTGACTAAACAAGGAGACCCTACCCTTGGTTAGGCTAGAACTAAACAAGGAAAAACATATAGCCGCAACTGCCTTTCACAACCACAGGTTTTTTTGGTCTTGAGATTCTCCATTCTGTTACCCCTTCTCTCCTTTGTACACAGCAAGTCTCAAGGTGCCCGGCACAGAACCTGAGCTCCTCGTAACTCAGACAATATTTTATGTGTACATATAACATACACATAATACACAGACGTATATCCTCAAAGGAATTGTAGGAAAGGACCACAGTAATGTGAATTGTTTTTTCTTCCAGCTGTGTTTGATTTTGTAGCTTTAATGGCTGATATACCATGCAAAAAAGGTAAAAATAAGTTGGAAACGTAATTGATCACTTTACACAGGAAAAAAAAAAAACACTGTCCATTATATTTCTGAGTTTTTGAATTTAATTATTCACTGCCAATCTGGAAATGGTTGCAGAATCCTCAGAAAATTCCACTTGTAGAAAGGTATTACTCTAAGAAATACAACTTCTTTGTGCAAAGACTCTTAAAGTTACTAATGGGCGTCTAAGTATGCAAATTGCCTTAGAATACAGGGTAATGGTCATTGAAGACATTCAAATACTTTTATCCATTGTAACTCTGAACTAGGAAGTAGACAGTGGGGCTTAAGAAAAGATTATTATCTTGATTGGAATTTCAAGACGGGAAAAGTCTAATCCCTTTCTTGTAAAAGACATCTGGGTGGATTTCAACTAACTTTGAGAAACGAATCAGAATAATGACTCAAACCTGAGCTAAAGAGAAAAGTGTTTTTGTTTTAAATAAAAACCAGGTGTTGCTCTCCTTAGTAACCCAATATTGGGTGCGCGCGCGCAGAGTGGCCAGACCCCTCTCCACGCAGCTGTGGCTCTGTTCAATTCGGCAAGTGCACTCACGGCAGAACTGCAACGGGTATAAAACGTCTTGACGATGGGCTCCAGGGTTTGACACTCCGCAGCGCCACCAGCTCTGTTTTCTTCCCAAGTGAGCCACTCTCTACCTCGCGTGCAGGAGATCGTCCTATGTGCGCTACAATCGTGGGGCGGAGAGATCTGGCGCTCACCCAACGAGCTCGGCTGGTGCTGACGTCCGTTCAGGCCTTTAAATGTGTCTGTCCCTGCGCAGGAGGAAACAGACTTTGTAGCAGTCACTTTGCCCGAAGGGAGACGCGTCTCTGCTTTTGCAGGCGGCAGTTCGGACTCCCCTCGCTCTTCCTAGCGCTGTGTTTTCCTCTGTCTTTGCCTCGAGTTCCCCGCAGCCTCTCCAGCTGGAGGCGCTTTTGGTATTCGCACCTCGGGCGTGAACCAACAGGACTTCCCTTGCCCTGTGCTGTTTCAGTGGGTTCGAAGATCAGAGATTGAGAGGTGCGCTCGGTGATCACTCAAGGAGCAGGGAGCTTGCTCTCCCTGAAATTGGTAGGGGGTGATTTTTTTTTTTCCCCGAGCTGGTGAAAGCATCCTCCCGCTCCTAAAGCTGCAACTTGTTTTGGTTTCTTCTCAGTCCTGTGTATGGTTACAACATCAAAGTTTTTCTCCCTTACCCCTCCAAAAATCTATCATTTTAATCCACCCTCCTCCCCCCACGCCGTCTCCGCCAAGCCTTCTCGCTGTGCGGCGAGTGGATAGCGGGGCGCGCAGTGTGGCAGCGGCAGCGAAGATTGGCGCTATCAGGAGGAGCGAAAGGGAAGGATCTGCTGCTGGGGGCTCCCTGGGTGATCCTTTGCCAGGCGAAAGAGCTGGGGAAGGGCGCAGAAGAGGAGCCGGAACCTTCTGGGACCCTGGTGCTTGACACTGGATTTTGATCACCATCCTTGTTCTGTGTCTCTGTCCCCTTTTTCTCAATTGGTAACTAGTCGAGAGAGAAGAGCTTGGCACGAGCTTTCTGCGGGACCTAAGCTCCCTGGCTGCTCGGGATCCCTACGTCCGCTGCTGCGGAAGGACCAGAGGGGAGGACGCCAGCCGTTGCTTACTGGAGCCTGGAGGTAGGCAAGGAGGTGGGGTCCTGATTCTCAGTCCAGATTCCAAAAGGGTGTCTTGTTTCATGGAGACATCCTTCTCACCCTCATTTGTCGTCGCACACCCCACCCCCGCTTTTCGGATTCAGGTTCAGGAATAACCAAATCCTTGGCAACCTCACAAGGTGGAAGTCCCTTTCACAGCTCATCACCTGGATGCCTTGCTCTTTACATATGTATGTTTGTGTTGGGGGAATGTGAGCTTCCCGGGGAAGTTGATACCTTGCAGATTTTGAGAATGTCCAACTTGATTTTATTCAGTTTCTTAAAGGATGTGTTTCCTATGGGCAAGAATTATGGGAAATAAATGTCAGTGTCATACACAACTGCAGTAACAGCTCAGAAATCACCTTCATTTCCCCCCAAAAGTTTTCCCCATGCAAGTTTTCTGAATGTCCACATGTAGTGAATGGAGACTTGGCTTGTTCCATTATATGTAAACGGAGCGAGATGTGGGGGGGGGGGTCACATCCTTTTAAATTTTGGAATATTAAAGACATTAGAATTTCTCTCTTCTATGTCTCTCATCACTATCTCTATCTCTTTTTCTGTCTCTTACCTTCCTACCATCCTTTCTTTCCTTATCTTGTCTTCCTTCTCCCTTCCCTCCCTCTCTTCCACCCACCTACCTTCCTTCCTTCCTTTTTTCCTTCTTTCCTCCCTTCCTTTCTTCGTCTCTTCTCTCTCTTTCTTTCTTTCCCTGTGCTGCTCATTAATAAATATAATGTGAATTTAAAGAGAATGGAACACTTTTGTAATTTACAAGGATGAGAGAAGACTTCTTTCCTATCTTGCCTGAAGTTTTTATTTAAGTATCTGATCCTTTTTAGTTGTGAGGTAATTTGGAGTAAGACTGAACTAATATCTTGGGTGAAATTCAGCATGGTAAGATTTTGTGTATTGTGTGTTTAATTGATCCCTACTCTTACACATTAGCTAATAACTGGAGTTGCATGAATTTGTAGAAAAGGCCCTTGATTTTTGGCAAACAATATTTTGTGGGAAATGTTAAAAATCAGTACTACAATTTAGGTGGCAATAATATGGATTCACAGGTGAAAAAAGGGAAGGAAGTTCACCTTAAGAGAGTGGTTTAGTGAAAAATCAGTGCCTGGAATTTCATGTCTACATATGTTAATCAGCCAACTAAATGAACCTGTTAGTATTTGGATCTTGCAATATTTGGTTCCATAGAGAGACTATTGTACATTTTATTTCTGGTCTCATTTGTGGGAATAGAATAAAATTAGATGGTTTTATCCACTTTTTCACACATGTGTGCTGTGGATTTCATGATACCCTATAAAGCAGTGAGAGGCAAGGTCCAAGATCTGCCCTCAACATTACCATCTCATCTCTACAAGGATCCCTTTACATTAAACTGCAACTAGTGGAATCTGGAACTTGAACTGCTGCTACTGTTTTTTGCTTGCTTGCTTATTTTATTTTATTTATTTTTTATTTTCTCTCTCTTGCTTCTATACACTTGTGGCTTCTAGTCTGAACGTAAATCTCCCTCTGTGCAATGGCTCTTGTCACTCGTATTCTTCCTTACAGGGCAGCTCATGGTTGGGTTGCCCTGAATTAAAATAAATTAATCCCCTGATGGTATAGTTTATACAGTTACTGGGTATATATTGAGTGTTCCCAGGGTTCCTGCTGAGCCAGGTGTGTTGGAGGACCTGGAGAGTATAGGGAGACCAGAGTACCACCCAAGTGGTGAGAGTAGGACTAAATTAGGAAGATGGACTGTACTTAAGGAAAATGAGGACATTGTAGAAGAGGAGGACGTAAAGCAAAAATCTGAGAGGGGTGTGTGTGTGTGTGTGTGTGTGTGTGTGTGTGTAGAAGCTGGATTATCTTTGGCAGGAATCAGCCTTATCTTAAATCTGCATGAGCAAGTTTATCTCAAAGGGCAGATTCTTTGCTTGGTAAATGCGATGAAAAGACTGGAGAATCCCAAGGGGGGAAAACAGCTCTCATTTGTAACTGTTGACTTTCAAATAAACTCTTTAGTTCCAGGCTCTAGAACAGTTTTTCCCAAATATCAGTGCCTGAAGATGCTAAACAATTGAGATTTATGACTCCTAACACACAAGATACTGGTTCAAGAGGATCCAAAATTAATTGCATATCTAACACCATAGGTGATTCCAATTCTGCTAGTTCAAGAAGTATTCCATGAAATTTACAGGCTTAGTGTGAATGAACTTCATCTTGTGAGGGAGGGTGTCATACTTGCTTGTTAATCTAAAAACTTTCCCTAGTATTTATCTTCTTGAAATTTTCTTGTTTTCTTCCATCAATGCCATTATTATTGCCATGTCTGTCGTAATAGAAGATGGATATTCTCAAATATCAAAATTTTACTATTTGTATATTTGCAGCCTTGGATGGTGGCCCTTTGAGATTTAAACCAGAAAACACTAATAGTGAGGTGATGGAAATGCTTCAGCATTATTAAAGCCTTAAGTTAAAAAAAGTCAGTATACTAATAGGTTTGGTTAGATGATAGCTTTAACTAAACATTATGATTATCATTTTCTCACTGGAGAGAGAAAAACTTTTTAAATTTATTCTTGCCTTTAATTTCATGTATTTATCTTTTTCCGTACTAATGCAAAGCAGTTCAGGTCACTTTCATGAAATTATACAAAAAGAAAGTAAATTTAACAGTGCCTTCAATACTTTTTTTTTTAGTAAATCTCTTCATTTCCATTAATAAAACTTCACAAAGGTAACATAAAAGTGAAAGAAATGATTGATGACATTCTGAACCCAATGGTGAGTTTGGTCATGTTATTGAGTCTATTTTTGAAAATAATATCTCCATGAAATTCCTAATTTTTTCCACTCTTTCCAGCCTAAAGATGTTGTCATTCATTACTATGATCTTCAATCTGTGTGATTTCCTTTGACACGATGATGTCAGAGTTCTTATTTCCTCCTTTTGTACTATTTTCATATATAGTGCTACTTTTACCGAACATGGTTTTGTGATCATAAGTATTCGTTTTCTATTAATTCAAAAGTTTGCATAGTAACAGAACAGCATCATATATCAATAGACACAAAGGTTATTGTATATGCTTATTTTCTTTAAAAAATCACTTTAGTCTTCTGACATTTCCCAGTTGTCTTATGCTATATCAGAGTATTGGCTGGCTTCTATTTTAAACTATCCACATGTTGAAATTAAGAAAAAAAGCAGCTTGCATGCTTTAATGAAATGTCCTCTCTAATAATACATGGCATGAATAATGTGAATTATAAGCTTATTCTTGATTTTAATTTTTGTTTTTATTGAAACTCTAATAATCTCTTTAGATATTTGGTTGGTGTTAAACAAAACCTGGGAAGAAAATCATGAAACTAGTTTAAGTCTTGGAAAATAAACGTAACCTAAGAGAAGTCTGGTTTTGCTTCATGTTAATCCAAATCACAGGTGTTATCATTAATATATTGAGATTGACACATCGTACCAGAGCATCCAGAATTTCTGCCATAGTCCAAGGGCTTCTCCATAAAATAGTTACACCACTGATAGAAAACACAATCAATTTCTATGTAAAAAATATAAAGAATTTTGTTTTGCTGTTCTAGAATTTCTTTTTCCTTCCACATTGCCCCTTTCCCCATGGGGTGAGAGAGAGAGTAGTCCACAGGATGGCACTATTGTGATGCATAGTATGTTAAATAATTTTACCCTTGAGCCATCTTTAGCTACATTAATACTAAGGAAAACATTGACTTTTCTCCATTGATAAATTTTCTGACACTTTTTTTTTTCAAACCAATGGATATCTATTAGGTGTTAGTGCCCATTATTGCCAAAGACTGCCTTTTTCAAAATAATCCCCCTAGAGGACCTAGTAGCCACCACTCCTATCTTTTCTTCTCTCTCCTCATCCTCTGTGCTCTGATGAAAATCATATTGTATCTATAGAATATGTATATATATATATATATATATATCTTAAAATGATTTCATACAAATCAGAAATATATATTTTTCATTATAGTGTTATATATATTCTCATCCCTGTCCTATGTTCATAGAATGAGAATGGTTCTTTCACATACTACATTTGCATTTACATTGAATTCATCCATGCTACCTAAAAAAAAATCCATTCACACTAATAGTGGTTTAATGGATTCCTTATAAGGATTGATTTGTGTTTTAAAAGAGGATCACTAGAAGAAGACAAATCTTAACACCTGTCTCCCCTGAAGGTTTTCAAGTCCTTAGATGAAAAAAAAAAAAAAAAAACTAAACTAAAAATCAGCAACCAAAAGCCACTACAACCTATTCTCACAAACCACAGCCACTTGTATGTTAAGTCCTACAACCTAGTTAAGGTCTGCTTCTGTTTGATATCTCATGTCTGGGAGTGCCAGAGTCTATTCAAAGTCTTCTGGTACAAACAGAAAACAAGAACTTGTGTAGAAACTCACGTTTAAACAATGAGAATAGGACATTAACATTAAAAAAAAATAAAGAACAGGAGGTGGAATTGAGAAACTAGAGATATAGAGATACTTCAGAAAGGTCAAACACATGTTTGAGAACATGTTTGAAAATATGGAGAACAGGAGGTGGAATCCAGGGGCTTGAGATGCTCCAGAAAGGACAAACACACGTTAGATCCTCTGTTTTGGTATGCCATTTCTTGTTATGCCATTGGTCCAGTTTTATAAGTAGGATCAGACTAGAAGACAGATCTGTGGTACAGAGAGCAAATCCAAGAGGCAGGAATCATCATGGTACCTCAGTCCAGCCCATATGTTCTT